ACTCAACTTTTCTCATTGGCACTTGCCACATATTGTACTATACAGCATTAAAAAATAGTAACCTTGGTCTAATGTTATATAACACAGATTACAACCACTGAATTAAAACAACCTCTTCCCTGGGTAACAGTTGCAATTTGTTTTAGAACAATTTAGTTTACAATTATTAAGATACAGCTACTACACAACTAAAATTATCATCTTCGTAATTAAAGCTATAGCTTAAAATGACAAAGAACATTATTAGACAACATACCATTCTGGCACACTTTGGAAAAAATTCATTGCAGCTTTACAGTTTTTCATAGTGAGACTCACAAGAATTTTCTCCAGTACAAGATGAGGAAAATTACTATAAAGAAAAACCAAAAGCTTCACTTAGAAGACCAAAAGCCACATAAAGAATACTTTAAACTTTAACATCCACGTTTAGCTATAAATCTTGACTTCTAAAATTTGGATCCTAGATTAAAATTGCTTTCATCTATACTGAATTTCTTAATATCTAAAAGGATAATTTAAGGAGGACAACCATTGTTACTATCATTTCCAATACTGTTTAGAAATAGGATGTCTGATTAACAGTATTTCTGAAATAAATAAAAGGTTGTAAAATCAAAGCAAAAGTTCTTTAATTGGATCCATTCAGAGGTCTGCTCTCCAATCATTTGGTTCCAATTACCATCTGTGCAAAGGTTAAGTGGACAAGTGACTCCATTTCTTTATCCTAGTGCTTATATCCTGTTTTGTCTTCCTTATTTCCTCACCTCATCCATAAAACATATTTTACCCAAAAGACACTCCCATTATGAGAAAGGATCCAGGATCTACATAACTGAGATATATGGACTCATTTATTTAAAAAATCAGAAAGGAACACATAAATGCTCAAAGAATTATATGTGCATTCTTCATGCACATCCCCCATATTCTCACAGTGAGACAACTCTTTATTTCAGAAGCAATCAGGTATAAAGACACAAATAGACTGTAAAAACAAACATAATATTTAATAATTAAGGTTAGATCTGGGAGATTCTGCATTACTATTATAAAATAAAGCCAAGTGGCATCAAGTAAGTGGAAAGAGCCTGACAAAACAAAAAAACCAGCAGCATGCTAACGAACTTAAATTACCTGTGAAGAATTGGAGGCACTTCTGTACTATTTTCTAAGTCACCCTCTAGCTGATAGAATAAGAGCCATTTCATTATTGATTCCTTTAAAGAAAAGCTTCTATTTACTTCACACATATTTTGCTCTATTCCCATTTTTACTGTTCCAGGAACTAAACTGGTGGTCAGTGCCAAAGTCAAACAGCATACTGCAGGACTATAACAAAACAAAGGACAATTATGAAAAGCAAGCTCTTGAAGGGGCAAAGACTTTATCTATCAGGACAGTGCCTGGCACAAACATTTAGTTAAGTTGACTAAATGAACATAAAAATTGTTAAAAGTCTGATTACATTTGGGAAGATTCTTGATTAAAAAATAGTTCTTTTATTAACAGTGGATAGTACTACAATTTTAACAAGGCTATTAAATAAATAATGATAAATTGCACATAAAAGAAATTTAAACTCTTGGTAATTCTTTAAAGAAAGTCTTTTGGATACACATATACAATTAGAAGGAATAAGACCTGGTGTCTGATACATCAGTAGGATGACTACGGTTAACATTAATCTACTGTACATTTCAAAATAGCAAGAAGAGAATAATTCAAATGTTCCTGGCATGAAGAAAAGATATGTAGGGTGATGATATCCCATCACTCTACATGAGTGTGTCATATGAGTGTGTCAAATTATCACATGTACCTTGAAAATATATAACTCTATCATAGATCAATTAAAAATTTTTTAATTAAAAAAAGAAATTCCTTAACATTAGGCTTTAATAATTTGTCGACATTTATGCATTTATTAAGTCTTCTTGGCCAAACAAGAAAAGCATCTGAAATAGAATTTGACATCTTTAACTGAAGTAACAAACTATGAAAATGATCAGGGATATGTGAGTGTGTGTCTGTGTGTGTTTATATGTAAAGTCAGACATAATGCATGCTAAACTTACCATGAAGGTCTGCAGGCTGACCCAGTAAATAACTTCCAGAATTCTCTGTCAACCTCAACTAAACTACTCTGAATTATGGCTCCAAGTAAGCCAAAGTTTTCAGCTTGTATTTGCTCAGAACTTATACCACGAAAGGTAATACACCAAATTTTATTCCAGAGTTTTAATAAATCTGACTTTTGTGAGCTTTCTAGGTTTGACCTCTTGTCTTGACACAGTGCAACTTCCGTAAGGCATCGTAACACATACGGTGTACGTTCCCCATGTCGCTGTTGGGGTAGAAGCTGAGAGAGTATCATCAGTAACGGAGACAGCTCACAGTTAGGTAAACTTGCAGGATACTTTGATATTAATTGGGTTGCAATCTGTAGCCTAAAAAAAAAAAGGGGGGGGGTTAATTTGAAAACTATTCAATCACATTAACAAACTAAGAGGAAATATACAGACATGGTACTCTTAACAATATCCTAATTAGAGAATCACCATCATCATTTCCATAGTACTCTAAAAATAAACTGGCTCTTAATAGTTACTATGTCCTACTTCCTAAATTGCCAGGAAAACTGTCAACGTTTTGGCTAGCTGGGTAAGTTGTTAAGTTTCCCTTAAACAAACATTTTAAAAGATGTTAAATTAGCAATATTTGGGCCAGGTGTGGTGGCTCACAACTGTAATCCCACCACTTTGGGAGGCCAAGGCAGGTGGCTCACAAGGTCAGGCGTTCGAGACCAGCTGGCCAACATGGTGAAACCCAATCTCTATTAAAAATACAAAAATTAGCCAGCCATGGTGGCACATGCCTGGAATCCCAGCTAGTCAGAAGGCTGAGGCAGGAAAACCACTTGGACCCAGAAGGCGGAGGTTGCAGTCAGCAACCTCTAGGTTGTATTCTCTAGAATGTGTGATACTTAAGAATAGGAATCTTATGTTATTCGTCTCTGTATCCCTAACACTTGGCCCACAGCAGGTGTTCAATAAATAACTCCTGACTAAATGGACAAATTAAGAATCTTAAACAGCTACTCTTAAATATAAAAATGAGCTTAAGCAATAGGTATTTAAATCAACATGCTTTTCCCCCTGAAGTCACTTACATTTAAACATTCCATCAACATGGTAATCAAAAGAGCACTGATCACGAGTTTGACTATAATCTATAAATCTCTGTCCTTACAAAAGTTGCTTAACCTCTCTGGGTTTCAGTTTCTTTTCAGGAAAGCAAACAGGCTGAACTAGATAAATTCTAAACATCCTTACCAGACCTAATATTTTGGGATTCCAAAGTATTCCATAATTTATTTGCTTACTTAAATATATGTGAACATTATATGAGAATAAAGAAGACAGAAAATAAGAGAAAATAACTTTTTATCATAAGGTCAAAATTATTGTGATTTCTTAAGGTTATCTTTAACTTCTTCCTAATTCTATTAGAAAGTGCTATATATGCTAAAATCTTTTGTTCAAGTGTACAATTCAGTGAATTCCATGAGGCACACACTTCTAGTTGCCTATCATACAGCCAGTCCTCCTTCTTAACTTGCTATGACAATATGATTAGAAAAGTTGGCCTGCCCTTGGCCCCAGCAAATGAGCCATTAATGATTGATCTCATTTGTCATGGCAATCACATATCCCTTTGCTAGTAATAGGTTTGGGGGTAGACAAAAGACTTAGTTCTGGTTGAGATGAAAGGATTCCACTGAAAGTTTTCTGAAAAATAACATAAAAGAGACTAAAATGACAGTGAACGAGAAAATGATAACATTTTACCAAGGCACAAGATCGAAATCATTCTGTGACTTCTGAAGGTGATCTTTTATTACTTCCCAGCCTAGTTCTATTTTCTTCCTTTTGCAAGGTA